CAAAGTTGATGCAGTCAACATTTTATAAAGTTCAAAGAATGAAAGTACATTGTGAATTGTTATAAAACTAATTCGCGATTTATTTATCATTATATAAATACCAGTGTCCGTTATGTTACAACGTGCAAAACATGTCACGCTATGTTTATCGAAAGAGCAGCTGACATATAGGATTGTTTCTCGGAGATAAATTAAAGTAGATAATAATGCATAAAAAAATAAGGAGAAAACAATTATAGTACAAATCGGATTAAACAAAAACTCGAGTATCGCTTCTATACATGGGCAGGACTTATTTCATCCCATTTTCCAGCCTTAACAGAAGTAACATATCGGTATTTTCGCAATTCCTAGAATAAATATTCTGATAAACTCCATTTTAAGTTTTATTAGTCCATACCTTTACAACTAAGATCTGAGATGCGGCGTCCAAGTTCCACACAGAGAGCCTTTTTTCGCAAGAACTACTACTTTTTGAAACAGGCTCCTGCGAGGATGCTTCCCAGAACACTAGAAACTCAACCACTTCCAGTTTAGTTTCACTATCTGTCTAGCTGCCATATCCTCGTAATCTCTACATCCCACTTCCTCTTCATATCACGTAATATATTCTGTAGCACTCTACATTGAGAGGCTCTTCGGCATTGTATTAGATGAAATTTAATAAAGGCAATATATAGAAATTAGAGATAATATCGAATTCAAAGATGCATTAATTGCTTAAATATATATAAGTGTGTGTGTCTGTGCTGGAGTGGGACGCGCACGAGCGTGTGGTGTAAAGAATTGCAGCTCGGAATGAAAGACCTAGGATCGAATTCCGGCGAGTTCGTTACATTTACTTTAAGGCAAGCACTGTTGAGAATGGTAATGTGCCATCTAGTCCCCCGTGTATGGGTTAAATAGAAGGATAACCATTCTAGAGACGGTAATGACAAAATCCCGCAGCGGTCTATTGCCGCTCGTTGTGATACACATAAAAACACTCAATGATTGAAATTCTTCAAACGTGTCAGTTGCACATTCTACCGCAAATGGAAAATATTTTCTCATATATATATATATATATATATATATATATATATATATATATATATATATATATATGTATATATATATATATGTGTGTGTGTGTGTGTGTGTGTGTATCAAAAGTACTTTTACAAATTTTGGGGCGGGTTCCTCACACCAAAACAAGGACAAATTTCATATAAACATATGTCCACAAATGCTTCGCTTTTGAGTTATTAAGCTTAAAAAATGTTTACGGTAGGTGGTGCTGTGTTGTCATGTAGACTAGGTTACATCTGTCATTCGTGTATACCTGGGGCTAGTCTGTCTTCAACGTTTAACATGTGTAGTAGTGAATTAACTAAGAAGTGTTCCGTTTAACATTGACAGGATATTCATATCGTGAGCAGGCAGTTATGATTTTTACATACGACCCCACGAATGGTAATGGACGCGAGGCTGCACGGCTGTATCAGATTGTGTTTGCCGGCAGAAGGCAGTCGCGTCATCCGATCTTTGCTGCTGTTTATCGTCGCGTTGTTGAGAAAGGATCCGTGGCACGATAAACTATGGATCGAGAAAGACAGTGATCTGCTCGTACGCCCGACCACAAAGAAAAGATTCTACCGGCTGTCGGGGACGATCCAGGTATCAGCACACGTCAAGTGGCCCTAGAATGTCATACATTTCATGGTATCGCATGGAGTTTCTTCAAGAGCAGCTCCTGTATCCGTATCATTTGTAACGTGTGCAGGGTCTTTCGCCCTCTGATCACTCACCACGGGAGAACATTTGAACCATCGGCAAATCTTCTTCCGTGCACAACTGCTGATCCGTTGTTTGTGTCTTCGGTTTTGTTTACGGCTGAGGCAACATTTGGAAGAGATGGAATAACAAATTTACACAGTCAACTGTTGCGGGCGAATCGGAATCCCCATGTTACAATACATGCGAGACACCTACATCAGTTTACGATTAATGTATTGTCTGAAATTGTAGGTGACTATCTTGTAGGCCCATATGTCTTACAGGAACTTTATTTCGAACACACTTCCAGACTTGCTAGAAAACGTACCCCTGCTAATACGAAACGCATGTTTATGCATGATGTGTCTCTAGCACATTTTAGTCCGACTGTTCCAGATGCACTGGCTGGCATCTACCATGAAAGATGGTTAGGCAGAGCAGAACCGGTTCTATGGGCTGCACGTCCCTCCTACCAAAATCCTTGAAATTTTTCCTGAAAGTGCAGCTATTGATTCTTGCGAAAATGTTAACTTACGCCCTTGATTTTTTTCAAGTATCTCTTTTCTTAAAAAGAAATATTCATATATACAAAAATCTGAAATTAAAAGAAAACGGTTAACGCAAAGGCCTTTTATTATTTAAAATACATAAATAATTTGTCAAATTAAAATAAAATAATAAAATTAATTACTTATATATACAAACCAATAAAAAAAAAGAAGAATTCAACTACAACATCCACTCATTCTCGTTTATTATACAGTAAATTACATCACTTAGCGTCGTCCGTAGTTTTTACCTTTACTTACGGTTAGCTTTAAGAATATTTTAGAGTGTTCTTAGATTTAAAAAATATTATAAACTTATCGATATTTTTACTTTTATATCAGTCTATATTTCTTTGATGAGGTATCCAATCACCTGAAGAAGGCCGGAGAGTAAAACGGCCGAAACGTTGTGAATATGGCAACAAATATGAATCCGAATATTGTAAATAAGTTTTACTTCATTTTATAAATACATGTTGTAAAATAAAATCATTACATTTACCTTGATAAAGGCACTCAGGAGACGAAACGCGTTGGTAAACTTTCGTCTGCATATATATATATATATATATATATATATATATATATATATTTAGGTACGATGAGAATGAATACAGTACAATAGGTTTAAATTACAATCGCCTGATGAGACGCAATGATATGCGTTGAAACACGGCTGCAGTTTTGTAGCGATTTTAGATGTTTTCGCTGTAATATACTTAAATATATATATTTGTGTGTGTGTCTTATAAAATATGGTTTTAAGATGTGCAATGTTTATAGATGTGTTATATTTATAAGTTCTCAATATTCCGGAAAGATCGTATGTAAATATGTGTGGATACAAAGTTCAACACCGAATGGCGATTGTCATGCTTGAAAGTAATTGTCTGGTCATTTGATAGCCATTGAATGGCCTGGAGATTGCGTTCATGTATGCAACAAACTGTCGCCATTCGGTGTTAAATACTTGTTCGCACTACTCATATATATATATATATATATATATATATATATATATATATATATATATATATTCTTTAAAGGCAAGTACTCATATATATATATATATATATATATGTGTGTGTGTGTGTGTGTGTGTGTGTGTGTGTGTGTGTTCTTTAAGGCAAGTATTATTTAAAAACAACAGCCATTTTGTGTATATTAATTTTATTGATCGTCTTTTCCAAATTCGAATAATCCTTCTCAGATGGGGAGGGCTTCTATCAGAAATTCTACAAAAGTCGAAAGCTCGGACCGTATTGCTTGTACTTTTCTTCCGAAATGAACATCCGACAATTTCTGACGGAATTTACATCCAGTCTGATTTCACCTTCATATATATATATATATATATATATATATATATATATATATATATATATATAGTCTTAAGATGTGCTGTATTTATGGGATAAAGTGCTCAATATCATAGATAGAGCGTGTCCAAATAAAAAAGTGAACAAAGAAGCGACAGTCTGTTTCATGCTAGGTGAAATCGTCAGGCCTAACGATTGCATCTAGCATGAAACAGACTGTCGCCTTTAACTGTTGACTTCTTTGTTCACTTTTATATATATATATATATATATATATATATGTGTGTGTGTGTGTGTGTGTGTGTGGGTGTGTGTGTGTGTGTGTGTGTAATTTTTATTCAGGTCGTGAACGTTCTTTGAGAAAGATAAATATATGCTGTCTAAATTCACAGAATACATACATACAGACATATATATATATATATATATATATATATATATATATATATATATATATATATATATATAATCTTGTATTTGGTCAAAAATCCCTATTTTAAGGTTTTATTTTTGGTTTAAGAACTGGTTGAAATGGGCCTGGGACATTTTTTTATTTCTTTACTCCCACCAAACAGAAAAAAATATAAGAATGCTGAAAAAAAATGAATGAAAAAATTAATTAAATTTTACTTGTCTATCACATTCAATCAAAAAACATGTTTAAAAGAAGTGTTTCTGCTTAAATATATTAAATATATATATATATATATATATATATATATATATATATATATATATATATATATATATATATATATATTACATGAATCATTGATACAAAAAGTAGATTAGTAATGTTAATTATATAAATGGCGAAAAACATTTTCGTAAACAAATTTGTTACAACATTATTATTCAAATTACCATATTAGTAAAATAACGCACTCTCTTAAATTTTAAAAAAATTCAACCTTAGCGTTGTGACTGCACGCTCCAAAAATTTCTTATCCGTTAATAATAACACATTTCTAAAAAAGCATATTTCGATTAACATTTAATCTTTCGTGTCCAGCTACCACCTGGATTTACTAAAAAAAAAAAAAAAATAATTTCCATGCCTGAGGATGGCTGTAAGTACAGCTGAAAGTACTAGCAAAATAAAAAAAAAGACCTCATACAACTTGAAGTTATTAAAAACAAGGATCATAGCATTCATCGAGAGGTTCGTGGGTTAATGTAACATTAATAAATTTGTTGCGAAGATGTATTTTCATTAACTTTACTAATCTACTTTTGTATGAATGATTCATGTAATATAAATTTAACTGCACCACATATATATATATATATATATATATATATATATATATATATATATATATATATATATATATTGGTATAAAAGTATTAAAAATTAAAAGGCTGAGATATTAAATTATTTCATATCACAGAGGAGAGCCACGCCCCGCAAGACCCAATGATCTGCGTTCGTATCGGTTCGTAGCGTGATGCTTGCAATGTATGTCAGATCGGTCCGTCTTGGTTTTTTATATATGGGACAAACGTAGATTCTGTTGTCCAGCACACGTGGTTGATTTACGGCGTAGATGTGAACAACTGGCAGAGGCTCAAAAAGAATCTTCGGCTTTGGTTCGACCAGGCGACATCCACTGCGGTCCCAACCGGCACCTTCCAAATACAAGCCATATACGTAAACCCCTTCAGAGGGGGGAATGATGGTGTCTTCTTTTTTCTTGCTGGTCACGTCGTTCTGCAGGATGACGGTGTCTAACGCCCAGCCCTTCTGTTTGTGTTTACGAGTCACCTCCTGGTCAGAAAAAGGCGAAAAACAACATGAATTAGATCAAATGATTGTCCTCATTGTTAAGAGGCAATCATTTACGTGATATACAGTAACTAAGGATTTTCAGAAAGCGATTAAATGTAAATAAAAAATAATAGATTTACTTTAATGTAGCTGAAGTAAGAGTCAAAATGTCTCTTTTATAAAGATGGCAAATCGATGAGATAGAAAAAAGGGATATATATATATATATATATATATATATATATATATTTGTGTGTGTGTGTGTGTGTGTGTGTGTGTGTGTGTGTGTGTGTGTGTGCAAATATGTAGAAAAAAAAGGAAAGAACACGTTAGGTAAATAATCCGGAGTTCTTTAGTATTTTTGTTTTTATTTTTTATTTTTAAAAAACAGTGCTCCATACAGAAGTAGAGTTAAATTATAATTTTTTTTTTTTAAAAAAAAATATGATTCCTTCGCTACATAAGAGTTCTCATGTTTCAAAAACAAGAGCCGAAAACCTCAATATAATTATTGAAATTAATTGAATTAAAGTATCAACCCCTGTTTCATCCTCAAGCGAAAATTGAAACATGGCTTGATACTTTAATTCAATTTAATTTTAATAGTTATATTGAGAGTTTTTTCTCTTGTTTTTGAAACATAAGAACTCTTATGTAGCGAAGGAATCATATTTTTTTTAAATAATTATATATATATATATATATATATATATATATATATATATATATATATATATATATAAGAAATAGTTTGTTGTATGTATGTTTTATAAAATGTTTTCATTTTTCAAAACACGGTCAAGATATTGTGTCCATGTTCATAGTTAATATTATTAAGTGTTGTTTTTTGTTATTATTAATAAGGTTCCCATTATTTTTAGCCTTTTTTTTAGCCTTTATATATATATATATATATATATATATATATATATATATATATCGGTAAAAATCCGTGGGTAGGTAATCCAAGTGAATCCTAATAATATAAAATATTAAAACTGATCCACAAATAGAGCTCAATATATTTATTATAGATAAAGAATTCTTTCTTTTTGAGTTGAAGAAAGAAAGAATGGAAAACGAAGATGAGTTTGTATACAGTAATAATCAAAAATAGTTTTAAAAATATTGAAACTTTAATTACGTTGAGGAACGAGAAAAACCTTTAAAAAAATTTAAAATAAAAGCACGTAAAAGAAAAATATAATTTTTAAATGAAAATTCAATAAAATTTGAGTATTTCAATTTTAATTTTTTTTCTTTACAAAATCCACAAAATCTCGAGTTTTAGATTGCATAATTTAACTGTTTGCTTAACGGAATTTTGAAGAAAGGAATATTGGCTAACGAATGAACGGAGGATACTTTTAAATGTTATCTGAATATGAAAAAAAAAAGCTAGTTTTTCTTAATTTTAAATAATACGGACATTACCACCCATATTCACAATTTGAAAACTTTGCTTGCATCAGTTAATTAACTTGATAAAAGAATGGGTGGAGACACAAGTGCGTGGAATCTTAATGAATCTTTATCAAATTTTTCGCATATGCCCCGAAGCAAATAAACAGATTTTGAAATAGTAAAAATACCATAAACAAATGAGAGAAATCATGAAAGAAAAAAATGAATGGGTTTTATGGAGGGTTTTTTTTTTATCTTTATCTTATTATTTTGCCATACGTTTCCTTATTTTATTTTTTTTATATTTTTTTTGTCTTGTTTTTTTTTTTTCGATTCAATATTTACTTATTTTATTTTTTGGTGGACATGTTTTAAATTTAATTCATCTCAATTTGAACTGATTTTAGTGTTTTAGAATTTATCTCTAATTCATTTATATTTTTTAAATTATTTCTACAATATTTTCATATTTTTATATGATTTTTACCTTATTTCTTATCCTATTTTGATCTTAGTGTTTAGATTATTTCATCTTATTTTCATATTATTTTTATCTTCCATTTTTATATATTTTAGTCTATTTACATATCAATGACTTTATTTTTATAAGATTTTATCATACTTTTGCTTTATTTTTCATATTTTGACCCTGATCATATCTTTCTTCTTCACATTATTTTTAATTATCTTTATCATTTAATATTATTTTATCCTTATGTTATATAATTTTGACTTTTTACATGATTTTATCTGAGTTTCATATTATTTATATTTTAATATTTTTCTTTTATATCCTTTTAACCTGATTTTTATATTATATTGACTATTTTTATATTATTTTATCCTTATTATTATACGTTGTAACCTAGGAAAGGTTACTGAACAGAGTAATCAAACGAAAGTTGAAAATGAACGATAATACTTAGAACAAGAACAACACATATAAGATTCGCGAGCGACGCGTAGCAGTAGTCAACTGCTAGAATCAAGTGAATTCCACAGTGAATCTCCAACGGTAGGATATCTACCCAACCTCCCCACGAGGCAGGATGTGGCACAAGGCCAATTTTTATGTGGGGAAAAACCGAGCCCGTAGGGTCGGCCAAAAATTTCCCGTAGACCCCGCATACCCGGGGCCGGGTCTGTCAATCTCCCCGAACGAGATTCTGTCCTTCCGCATAACCCCGTTCGGGTTCTTCTCTGCCCGAAGGCAGAGAGTTCGACAACTGCCTAATAGCTGCTGGCCCACTCTGAAGACAGATGGACGGGAATCTCCAACAGTAGACCAACATACAGTATTCACTACTGTATTTATGGGAACGAAGACATACCCATTATTGTCAATAGTCGTTAGTGAATAGCAGGACGCGATGGCCGTTATAGGGTTGACATTAGAGCCAGCCATGATGATTCTTGGTATCATTTCTTCAATGTTCATGAACGGTTCGCACACTTAACTCCATAAATCAGCTTCCTGAACTTGTATCATCTGACATTGAACCAAATATTAATGTCGTTTGTATTCAGGAACACTGCTATTTTCATCCTGACTGATGTCAGACTAAAACGTCACTGTGTTGAGAAAGGCTGGGTCTTCATCTCAGAATTGGCTTGGAAAACTTCAACAGATACAACCATTGATGGTTTTGGCAGATTACTTAGTCCCTTAGACCTTGAAGTACATTTATATATTATTCTAATTTTATCTTTATATTATTTTAATCTTGTTTATATATTATTTTGACCTTATTTTATATTTCTTTAGCCATATATATATGTATTATTTTAACATTATTTTTATATTATTTTAAGCTTATTTATATTATAATTTTAACCTTATTTATATATTATTTTGATCTTATTTTTATAGTATGGCAACCTAATTTTTAAATTTTTTAACGTTATTTATATATTAATTTGACCATATTTTTATAATTCTTTAACCATATATATATATTATTTTAACGTTATTTTTATTATTTTACCCTTATTTATACATTATTTTGACCTCATTTTATATTATTGTGAACTAATTTTTTATTTTTAGCCTTATTTATATAATAATTTAATTATATTTTCATATTTATATATATATATATATATATATATATATATATATATATATATATATATATATATATATTTTAAACGTATTATTTAAAACATATTTTATATTATTTTAACCTTTTTTTATATTATTTAGCCTTATTTATGTATTATTCTGATCATTTTTTATTTTTAAATATATATATATATATATATATAATGAGATTAGTTTTATATTATTTTTACTTATTTTCATATTAATTTGAACTTTGTAAATTATTTTTATTTTCATATTAATTTAATCTGATTTTCCTGGATTTTATCTTATATTTACCATATTTCTTATGCATGTCTGCCATTATATATAAACATCCTTCTCTCCATTTTATAACTAACAGAGTAATATTTTTTTCGTCTTCTATGTGCCACGTCCCTAACCATAGCTCTCCACAACTTCCTCTGTCTTGTGGTCGTCAGCAGTTATTCTCCCTTTGCTACGGCTCTCGCTCCTTGTTCTGCCATTTATTCACACAAGCTCGTCAGGTAGGTGGCTCGATGCCTTCCCCTATGTCGTTTGCACTGTGGGGATTATGTTTTCTAAGCCTTCTCCTTTCTCATTATATGTACAAGAAATTTCAGCTGTCTCTTCTTGATTCTGTGTAGAGGTGTTCTTTTTGTTGCCATTTTCTTTAAACATTCCTCGTTGCTGACTAAATCTATCCCCGGAATTCACAGCAAACCTACGAGTATACATGTAGTGTATAACAACAAAAGCTCAACTCATAAAATGGCGCAGATGTTATTTATATAACAACATGGATTTTTGACTTGATGGCTATGTGGACAGACTCTTCCAAAATTATTTATTCTTTGAAGAGGTACATGAGATTTTTTGATTAATTTGAATGATTTGGGGACACTGAATCAAAAAAAAATAACCTCCATTTTCCACTGTTAGCTTTAGTTTTCTTGTTTTGTATAATCATTTCATCCCAAGCAAGGCAATAAAGCCACTAAGATGCTAGAGGTGAGAGAATAAGAAAAAAAAAACTAATGGAGAGAAAACAATAATACAACTGGAATTAAGAAGACAGAAGTTAACGATTGATATTTCATTTCCATTCTTAAAAATCAGAGTTGACTGGAAAGCAAGAAACTGGAAGAGCGTTTTAAAAACGAGAAGTAGGAGAGAAGAAACTGTTAGCATAGAACTTACGGTTACATCTAGAGATTTCAACTGTAAATGGATGAGACATTGCTGCCAATCAGTATGCTTAATTTCATAAGTACCAAATTTCATTAAGTACCAAAGAGGAAAGCAATATTTATTTTTGCATTGCAAGAAATGTTGCCCAAGACCATGGTGGAGATGAGGAAGGCCGGTCTTCATCTGCCTGATATTTAAACTTAGCTAGCTACAACTCCTGGCCCAAACATATTACAATATTCCTTATACGAAAATATGACATTCTTACTTACCATGCATACTACAGTCACCATAATGCCATAACCTCTCTGTCAATCCCTAGTCCCCAAAGAGAAAAGCTCACCAGAACAATTGCCATGAAAGTAATTATAGAAAAAACACAGTGGTGGGAAAGCGACTGAAACCGAAATGCCAGGTCAGGACTAGTGACATTTCCGATTCTTCTTTGGATTGTATCAATAATCTCTAAATAAATGGCAGAAACACCAAACCAGATGCGACAATAATTTTCAATGCATAGACAAACGGTAGACTTATAAAATTGTAAGAAAGAAAAGTATAAGTTGGCTTGCCCCAAAATATGTCTAGACCAAAGTTATTTATCTTATCAAATTGGTGGAAACATTTCTCAATATAGTGTTTTTTTAATTATACTATGTTTTCTATTATTTCATTTTATATATATATATATATATATATATATATATATATATATGTGTTATTTCATTATATATATATATTTATATATATTTATTATACAGGGTCTCCATAAAATTTTTGTGCATTTTAAAAAAATTATAACTTTATTTGTGTTTGTGATAGAAATAATCTGTAAAAATGTTATAAAGTTTAATGTTCCTAGTTTTAAGTATAGCTAAAATAACTAATGTGATTTCAGGCATTACTGTAAATCAGCTGGCAAATGTTTTCCGTGAACTGTAAAATCGTATTACCCTTTGTATTGCTAATGGGGACACATGGTAATTTAAATAAAATTTCAATAAAACCTTAAAAAAATTCAGATTTCTTTATTTCTGATCCTTTTTACAAATTATTTCTATCGCAAATACAAATAAAGTTATAATTTTTTTAAAGTGCAAACGAACTTTATAGACACCCTGTATATATTATATATTTCATATATTAAACAACTTGAATCATTTTTTCACGCGTAAGTTTAAAGTGAGAACATTGCTTTTAATCTGCGAGAATTATGCTAAATGATATTCAAAAAAAAATAAGTTGTACTTTCATTCTGAGCACATAGACCGACACCTCAATTTATTAATCAAATTCCTTATCTCACCTGTCTCATTGCGGTGAGGAAGCCTTGTGGATTGAAGAATCCTGTCATCCAAAAAGATATTGGTCGACCTTCAAAGCACCAGCTACGAAACTGGGAATTTCTGTCAACAAGTTCTGTGAACCAAAAACCAAGGTTGCTGGAATCCCAGGAAATCTGAAAGTAGCAATTCAGTTTGTTTGATAGTTAAAAAAAAAAAAAAATGAAAATTCTCTAACCATCTTTTTTTTTTTGACAACCCTAATCATCTCTTCCATGAAATGTCCACTCTTTTTTGACGAGAAACATTGATTGATTATTCAGAATTAATAGAACGTGCTGAACTTTTCTGGAATGAGTCCATTTCCTCTGATTGATTTTCTGTTTGGATATAATGTTACATACAAAAAAACACTTGGATCTGAATGTCTTTCAAAATTCATGATGTCTTTGCTCTTCTGCGAGATGAATGTGAAACAGCATTTCACACACTTTTGAATGAAAAATAGCTAAATATCTTGAAAAAGTAAAAAAAAAGAAACATTTGAAACCTTTGATAAAATAAAATCTAGAATTTACCAACAATAAAACGTTGTTCCCTCTCCAGACAAAATTCGAAGAATAATTCTGTATGTTGCACTTCAAGGAAATCGTTGGGTAAAACAATATTAGATTAATATTTAAATTTCAACAACTCTACTCTACAGGCTCCCATGGGCAAATTGTCGCCATTTATATTTTTATGTTTGCGCATGCGCCTTGTTTGTTTTTGATTTTGAGTATAATAGTGTTAGTTGGGCATCATCTGTGCGAAAAAGAGCAACATGATGCAATTTACCCTGCCAGAGATTTGGAAACGGCATGATGTACTGCTTGGCATTCGTGCCGGAAGCTCCAATACAAACATTTCAGTGTGTTCGAATGTCAATCTGAAAACAGTGCAGAGGATTCAGAAAGAGTTGGATGAGTCTAATGATGATTACGAAGGTACGGCAGCTCCGAAGACTCACTCTGATCGTTCTGATGAGAAAATAAATACCGAATTTGTTGGTGAGGGCCTCAGAAGTCTACATCAATTTCTTTGAGAAGGCAGTGCTGCCCTGGGCCAAGAGTGGGGGGCTCTAAAATTCTATGTCTGACGACAGGACTCTGCACCAGGTCACACAAGCAGAACCAACTCATGGCTTTCTATGACCACATTACCCCTTTACATCTTACCATCTAACTCCGCAGATTGCAACCCTCTTGATTATTATGTGTGGGGCACAGTTGAGTGAGAGACCAACAAATCTCCTTGTAACACCAGAGATGAACTGAAAGCAAGGATTATGGCAGCATTCACTAGCTCAAACAAGGGAGACAGTCCAGGAGATATGCAGGAGTAGTCTGGAGGTCGTTATTGAATAAACGTACTATTTAGTATTTCAAGATATTTTTGTGTCATTTTGGTAAATATATCTGTTAAAATGGGATGTCAAAGTTATTTTTATTTTTGTGTAATTTAGACGTCAATTTACCCTGTAACCGTCAAGGCTTACAGCCATATCACGTTGAAACATTGGTTCCTGTACGATCACAGAACTTAAGCAATGTCGAGACAGGTCAGTATCTAGATGGGTGGCCGCTTGAATATACCAGATTCTGTAATCTTGGAAGTGCGGGTGGTGTAATGGATAATGGCTCGGAATTGTTAATAGGAGATCCAAGGTTCAATTCCCGTTGGTTTCCTTATATTCCGTTATGTGCAAATACCCTTAGGAAATTGCGAATTCGCCTCTTCTTCACCCCACCCCGTCTCCTGCAATGGATTAATTTGAGAGAGAGAGAGAGGGGGGGTTAAAGAGATATTTATCTGTATCTCACTCTTTTAAACCGTCATTTAACTCCTCTCTTTAAAACGTCTCTCTTAATCCCCACCTTCACCTTTAGGCCTTCCTTTTCTTCTTTCTTCCTTTACACCCTCTCTCTAGAGCTTTCATACATTTCCCTCTCACACTTGGTTCCCACTCATACACTCTCACTAAAATTTTGTTTTTTATACCCGGAGTTATATTTTCCGATTTCTTTTTGAATTTGTAGGTCTGATGAATTGGATCGTGATTATGATTCCACTGTAATAAATTATAACCATGGAATATTAGTATTTCAGCCTTTTTATATATTATATATATATATATATATATATATATATATATATATATATATATAATATTTGATATATATATATATATTTGAACTTTATTTCACTACTCCTTAAGCTTCCGATCCTTAGCTATGATTTATTAATGATGGACATGTCATTTTCGTTTATGACCGATTTCGTCACGAATCTTCTGTTAAGCTTGGAGAGTAATTTTACATTTTTATTGCTCAAAGTAGAGTCCTGTAGTGTCACAAAACTCTCGTAGAATTTCAGTAAGATATCTTCAATCGTTTCTGCTATTCAGAGCTTAATCTAACAAATGGACAATTTTGCTTTTACACAATTTGGACAATTTTGCTGTTACACACGGTATAAGCGCTCACTCCAAGTGAGAAGGAGGAAAATGTTCTTGAAATCCGCTGGCGGAGAAGAATCCACATTCAGAGAAATCCCACCAAGACACACACTCACTCACCGTCCCCTGTTTTATTAGCCTTTACAAGGAAAACAATATATATATCTATGTGAAAATCAAAGAAAGTGATAACGACATTAAACACTGTCTTTTCGCAGTTTATTTTATTTATATTATCTCTATATTCATTGTTTTATTTACTCATGCCCAAAAAAGGAGTATGCAACCATTATGGTTGGACTCTCGTTCCTGAAGTTGATGTGAATAAACACCGAAATGACCACCTCCATTTGATGAGTTAATAAATGAACTCGTTCAGTAAATTTTTCTTTGTGATTTTCTTTCGTAATTGTAATTATAAAATTTAAAAGATTTTTCTCAAACATTCACTCACTTTGAATATCTTTTTAATGTCAGGTCACTTCAGGACGTCGGCAGTCATGACTCTCCACACCTTCCTTTTTTCTTTATTATTTATAAATTGCCATGAGTTATTAGGAAAAATATGGGAGTAGTTTCCTGCTGCCTTCATCACGATTTGGAGTTTTTATTCTCTTAGACCAGTTGCCACCCATAGCTAAAGAGCCCAGGCTACGCTGGTCTTTAACGATTACAAGGTAGAAGTGGATACGGATTCATACCTTTTCCAAAGGCATTAGTGAGAAAGTGGACACATCAGATGAGCTCTGAATTTGAACTTAGCTCGTCGATTTCAGCCTCGTACCGATATCTTTCACATCATCCGCATATCGAGGCTTTGAATTACTAACTCTGAACGTCAAAACCTGTTCAGTGCCTCATCATAGTTTCGAAAATAACCGATCAGTTGAAAATAGGATCACCAGCGGTTCCTATCAACTTACAAAATAAAATTCGTTATTGCACTCAACAGTTTTCTATAACGTTCAACCAAAATCGCAATAAAAACATTCATAATTAAAGACATTATGAGGTGGGGGTCCCCCAAATTTAGGGGATTTTGACTCTAGCTAAAACTAATAAACTCTCTCACAAATCTTACTGCTCACAAAAAAATAGCGGTAAATCCGTACTACATTCGTTGTTAGCATTAAGTTTCTTAAGACTACTTCGAATTTGGAAGAATATAATAAAACAACTGACAGGTAATTATTGCATTACGTTGACGATGTCTTGATTTAAACTGATCATTTTTGGAAGAATGCCAATATTGATAACGATATGCATGCAAATAAAAACCATATATGAAGCGGGGATTTTAAATAGACAAGAATTCTAGACGTGATAAAAAAATGAGGCTTAATCACAAATTTTACTACTCACAAAAGTAGGGGCAAAGCCGTACTAAATGCATTGCAGACGAAAAAAGTAGGCTAAATGACTATATATGTCTCCAAGCTAGACATGCCCCAGAGCTTTTCATTCGTCTTACCTTCTGCCAATAGGTGGGTATACGTGCATCAAACATAGAATCCAGTGCATCGCGAAGATTCTCATTCATGATGATTGTCCCGTCGATTGCCAGCTTAAGGTCAGTCAGAGTTGTTCGGACAGTCATGATGACTCTCTGCATACGGTCGATTTCCTGCTTGAGGAAGATGTTCATAGGTTCCAAGGCACCCATCTTCACCAGGCGTTGATTGACTTCGAATGGCGCGTAGTCCAAAGGAAGACTATCCAACATGTCATCGCACAACCGGTAGACGACCGATTCACGAGTTTCACCACCACCACTGCTACTGTCTTTCGGTTGAATGCTGAGGATTGTGTCCAAGATTGACTGGGCTGCCTTACTAGAATACCTTCAGAAAAAAACAAACAAACAAATAAAGCTTTTAAGACAAAACGCATTTACGTTCCACCAATTCAGACATTTATAACTAAAACACGCCATTCCACTTCCACGAGGTCGATTCTCGAACATTTGCATATTATTCTAATTGCAAGAAATGAGTGTCGTGTAAATAATGGCGGATGGGAATCAGGGAGCCGAGTTTAAATTCCAGTCGAGTCAGTTACATTCACTCATGCGCAAATACGCTTGGGAAAGGTATGAATCAATCCCCTCCCCCTGCTATGGGTTAAATTGTAGAAATTGTATCTAGAAAATTTATTTTTATTCTAAAAGAATAAATAATGTAATATAAACTCGCAAGAATAAATATTTTTTCTTACAAACCAAAATATATGTTTCGGCTTTAAATAACATTAACGGTTGATAAGCCGTAAAAACCCAAATCAGTCTATCAGTCAATCTACTCGGAAAGCACTTACCCAAGCTACTTTGTGGAATAGACTCCGCCATTGATTCTTTCCGGAACACTACAGTGATAACCTCTTCAGATGAAGGGTCAATCATTATCTCCTCCTCCTTATCCTCATAATCTTCGCCTCCTACTACCTCATTTTTATTCATATCATTTACTTCATTCATTATAAGAATTAGCTTGAATGGTTATTGAGCCTTACACTGAGCGAACTTTACTATAAAATTAGAAATTACATCCCGTGTCCTTAAAACTTGTTTCTCTTTAGCGTGTCCGGCTTCAGAATCCTATATTTTGACAGGGAAGAAATATATTGTTATTTTTTTTATTATTTCACGCGAAGCAAGTCGATAATGCCATTAAGATGCAAGGGAGTTACTGGGAGTAAAAGAGAATGAGTAGGCATTCAGAAGAAAGGACAATAAAAGCACGGTTTCAAGAAGAGATGACGTTTGGCGTTGCATTTAAATTATTGGAGATTCTAAATGGCAGGGAAGCAAGAAATCGGAAGGGAGTTCTACAGGTGAGAAGTGCATCAAAAGAAACTATTAGAATAGAACATACGATTGCATTTAACTCGTTCAATAGTAAAAGGGGTGAGACCTAACTGCCAATCTAGTAGCAGTCTTAAATTCATGCAGTCGAGACATCAAGGAGGAAAGCTTCATCAGAACAACCGCCATGAAAATATTTGCAGAAAAGTCAAAAGGAAGCCAGTTCACGCCGATGTGAAAGTGACTGAAGTCAAAATGACAGGTCAGGATCGATTTTATTACAAACCTTTCGTTAGATTTTGTTAAGAATCTCAAGGTATATAGTCGGAGCACCAGACAAGATATGGCAGCATTGTTCAAAGAAAGAATGGTAGACTTATAAATGTGTAAGATAGATTCTGGCGACAAAAAAATGTCTGGTATGACACAATAAACCAACTTTTCTAGCAGTAGATCTAGCAATTGATTCAATTAATCACTTCACTTCAATGTGAGTGGAAAGCAGGAGCCCAAGAATGTGTAAAGAGTCATTCATCTGAGGGTTAGCATTAGCCATGCTGATGGAAAGCAGAAAAAGGTCTCTATTGTGATTAAATGAAAGCAATTTTGTTTTGGAGCGTTAAAATCTACATGTCGTTTATACGACTTCTTTCTTGTCCTAAATATGGATAATTTTTTTGTTTCTCTCTCTATTTTCAATTCAACAAATATCCGTACATTTCGACTTTCTCTTTCAGGATTTGACCGATCATGTTTCTCCACAACTTCCTGTCTTGGTTGCTCTGAGCAACACTACTCTTTCATCGTCGCTCTTAGTTTTTATAATACTTGTTCCGTCATCTATTTGCTCAAACTTGTTGCTATCGACATGCAGCAAAGTACCCTGTGAGTGTTGTATTCTCTAAGCTTTCTTGCTTTATTATTTGTGCCGCAAATTTCAGCTGCCTCTTTCGAATTGGTAACAGCAGTTTCCATGTAGTTCTTTTTCAGCTTAAAACTTGCTCGTCTTTCTTATGCTTGCATTCATTATGATTATTTTAAAACTCTACCTTCAGCGGCTTTCGAGCCTTGTGTTAGGTGAAATTTAGCAGTTAATAAAAAACTCGCTGAAGCATAACCAATCTTTTATTATTTTTTTCGAAGCCTGCTTGCAATTCGACTTAAATACAAAATAATTTAAAATAATTTTACAAAAGAGATGAACATATGCTTACAATAGATGCATTGTACAACCACTATGTATAATCAGTTGTTTTTGAGACTCAGCTGCAGCTCAAATTGAAAAGTGAAATAACACTTTTTTTTGTTTTATTTTATTTTATTTATTTATTTTGAAAAATCTAACAACCAATATATTTTTTGTAGCTGTTGGATATTTTTTTTTTTTTGTTTGTTTATTTTTTTTTCTTAATTAAATTCCCCTCCTCCACGTTTAGGAGTAACCGAAAATATGATTGAAATAACAACACAAAGAAACAGCGTGTCATTGTCCTTCCGGTAGAACTGTAGGCATTTCTCACAATGGATTCATATCCAACGTGAAACGCTAAATGCTAACAGTCAAAGTGTCGCCACTCCGGAGTCAATGTCAATATGCCAAAATGGTATGAATTCAAAACTTTATTTCTCTCAAACTGATTCCAATTTCCGAACTGATAAACACGGCGCTATACGCACATGCTATTTGTAAATAATTATATAGGCCGCACTACAACACGTTTGACACGCAGACTCACTCCACACCTTTCTGATCGTAGCTCAATTAGATCTCATTTAAATAATCATGGAGACCTACCGGACACATTTCGTAACAGACAAAACAAATATAATAGCAAAAAAAGGTTAAAAATAATGGAAGCCTTATTAATAAAAACAAAAAAACAACACTTAATAATAATAATTAAAACATGGACACAACATCTTGATTATGTTTTTAAAAATGAAAACATTTTATAAAACATACATACAAAAAACTATTTCTCATTTAACAGTTAAAATATTTAATCCTTGAAAAGGGCGAAATATATAGCCGAAAGCGCTCGGATAAAAAAAAAAACATTCGGACAGATTTCATATAATTTATCATCCGAAAAGAAAAAAATTATTAGATCGCATGAGAAATTGTATAAAAAACTAAATGGAAGCACCTTGCCTGTCGTAGTCAATGAAATGTGCATGAAAGAAGGATTGCTGCCTAATATATATATATATATATATATATATATATATATATATATAGAGAGAGAGAGAGAGAGAGAGAGAATATATGTGGCAGCAAACTTTATTTCGTTGAATATCATCGACAAGGAAAATTTTTTTATTGAGGTTTTCTAATATTCTTAATTTTTTTCCATTTGGTGTGTGCGTAAAGGAGTGTAATTACTGTCCGTAGTGTCTGTTTTATCAGGCTTTTAATAACGATTAACAACTAACCCCTTAAAAATAGTTGAAGAACAGGTAGAAAGCGCTTGGGACAATAAACTCTGCGGTCAATTTTTACACTCTCTAACCCTGACCAAACAGAAAAATTTTAGAATACTAGAAACAAAAATATATAGGTAAAGCAATACAAATTTATATATATATATATATATATATATATATATATATATATATATAGATAGATAGATAGATAGATAGATAGATAGATAGATAGTCTTAAGATGTGCTATATTTACGGGATAAAGTGCTCAATATCAGAATAGCAAGAACACAGTTAAAAGGTATCGGCAGCTCGTCTTCAACCGGTGAATATGGACAAATATGCTTCTTGATATATTCCGTTTCTTCTCTTTATTTTCTGTGAATTGCCATGACTTGTTGGGAAAGATAGGGGAGTGATTCTTTTTGCCTTCGCCACAGTTTTGAATTCAGAATTCCCCTTATCTTAGGCTGACTGCCACCTTGCTATTCAACCCATGGCTAAGAGGGAAAAGATGTATTCATGCCTTTTCCCAGCGGATTAGCGAAGGAAAAACGCAACAGAGTTGTGTGAAAACTAATCCATCATCCACAAGGCCACGTAAACGTTTTTGAAGTTTGGAAAATAAGGATTGTCTAGCTTCATCTCAAATATGGCAGCATTACTCTACTTTTCTGGTCTGAATTAGCTCTTTTAAAGAGACAGCATTACAGAAGGAGTCAGGTACTTTCCGGAGCTATAAAAGAACGGACCATTTTTCGTGCCTGTTTAGTATTGGATCGTCTAAGTTCCACTTGAGATATGGGATAAGCTTGAGTCCTAACAGACGTTCAAATCAAGCAGTCGCATTGTGAGTACAAGCGTCCAACATGATTTAAGTAAATTCGGTGTCTGTTCAGTGTTGTTGAAACGTTATTATGACTTTGGAGGTTTTTTAACTAATGTTCACCCAATACAAGGCCCAAGGGTCACTCAAAGCAGAGGGTTATCGTGTGAAGCTGTATCAGCGTAAACAACAGCAAGATAACAGGAAAAATTAGACAGCTAATTCTAGACTTGAAGATGTTAATATTTAATTACTGAATAAAGGTTCTAAGTTCAGGCGGAAACGTTAGGTGTATAGAGTTGAAGTAGACATTAGAAGGGACCGGAAACCCGTTCCTAAACAGGAAACAAGGGATGAACCCCTACTCCTGTTCAGAAGACTGGAGATGGGTACTGAATTTTACTAGCTAGTTTTTTTCTCCATTGAGCTGTTAAAACGAATCCCCATCAGTGCTTTTAAAAGAAACTCTTTTCTCATTTTAGTCGCCTATGCGTAGGGTTACAAACCTAGTGTAAAGCGTCCCTCACCAACCGGCCAGTAAATAGTTCTTTCTTTCTGCAGAAGCATAGGCTTTTGAACATGGTCTCCTTTGATAGTAAAAGGCAAAGGTTTTACCCATCGCCAGAAGTTTATTATTTCATACCTATGTTTTGTTCCGCATCTGTCTATATCTCTGGTTTTGTAATTATTTACACTATTTACATTCGCCGGACTATTGTCCGCATCTTTGTTGCCATATCCACGATGTTTCGGCCGTTGTATGCTCCAGCTTTCTTCAGATGATTAAAATTTCGAACTGAACCCTTTATTTCGTCCTCCGGAGAACATTATTCTAGTTCCACTTGCCATGCCACTTATCTCCCGTTAACTCAACTCTCCAAATTTTTGTTTACGATTGCAGTAGCCAGGCATTGAACTTTGGATCAAGTCAAGAGATCCAATCAACGCTTTTCGTTCGCTAGGCCAACATGCCCTTAAGGAGATCAATACCTGGCTGCTGCAGAGATGAACAAAACCTGGAGAGTTGAGTTAAAGGGAGATAACTTTGGCACCCGGAAGTGGCTTGAAATGTGCAAATTCCACTCATGAATATCACAACAAGGATGAGGACAACAGTCCGAACAATGTAAATAGTGTAAATAGTTTCGTTCTGAATTGTTTAGTTGGAAATAATTTTGGGTGAGAGACATATTTCCTTGGTAAAGTCGCTGCAGAAATTGACACAAAATCTTCAATTTATTAAGCGACTCACAGCACCGAAAATATGATACACCCAGCGAGTATCGAACTCACTACTCAGTCGGAATTGGGCAGTGAGGTCTATTCTCAATGGGTATACAGCAGTATCACGAAACTATTACCCTACGCATAAACAGTATAACATTATGGCGTAGAGATACTATAAAAACACTCCGACTTACATGCTCAACAGCATTGGGCCTAACACATAAATTTAACTGCCTTGTTATTGTATATACCTTATTGTTAATAAAGGCTTATTAAGTTATCAGCGCCTCACTTGTAATTAGCACCATTATATAACATCAATAACTTTACAGGGTGCTCCATACTTTAAGTTTTATGCCATATTTAAGCTACACTTAGTAAATCGATATTTGGGCACTGGGACGTGGTCTAATAGCTTTCAAGCTGGTCTCACTAGATCAATTACGACTGAGCGGCGAGTTTGATCCTTACTACCTGCTCCATGCTTCGGCATTGTGGCACATCTAAGCTAAGCTTAGTAAATCACTATCTGAGCACTTTGACATGGACTAATGGCTTTCAAGCTGATCTCGATAGATCAATTATGACTCAGCAGTGAATTGATCCTCACTGGGGGGCTGCAGGCATTCGTCATTGTGCCACATCTAAGTTGCGCTTAGTAAATCCCTATCTGGGCACTTTGACGTGGACTAATGGCTTTCAAGCTGATCTCGATAGATCAATTACCACTGAATAGTGTGTTTGATTGTCACTGGGGGGCTCCATACTTTCGGCATTGTGCCCCATCTACGCTAAGCTTAGTCAATCGATATAATAATTAATCTCAAGTTGTAATCTCTTCTCAGAAATCCGGAGTGTATGTTTTTTTTGTTTTTTTTAATTCCGTTCAGAAAACAAAATGGATCCGAATGGATTGGAATCTTGCGAGTCGACCTCGTCACAAAACGAAAAGCATATAAAATGATTTATTTCTTATTTTTATTCTATCTTCATTCTCTGATATTCCTCTGTGTATTTGCGTGTGCGTCTTAAGAGACAAAGTAGAAAAGCCTGGAACAACGAAGAGAGATTTATTAAAACGATGTTGACAACGGGTGGAATTGAATGCGATATCGATTTTTAAAACAATGTTTCAGCGCACTAAGGGCAGGTACGTGGGGGGTGCAATAATTTCTGTTTAAAGAAAACAGAAAATGATAAAATATAGAAAACAGCAAAAATAAAAAAAAATGAATGAACGTACGAAAAAAAAAACATTTAAAAATTAATATGAACGCGATGCGCATGCGCGAAACCTGTTGCGGTGACATCACTAATTAAACCTGTTTTCCCCTTTTTTATTTGTGTTCTTTCTATTTAAGAACAAATCCGTAAGCACGAAAAAACAAACAATGA